GGGAGATCAGCTGTATTATGTCGACCAGAAAATGTTTCCATGGACCGAAAATGTGGAAATATCAGCTTTTAGGCCGGCTGCAGCTACTTTGTGTGGATAGAGCTTGACTAGGTAGCGACCCCCAGATACGTGCACATGTGACTGCACCGTTTGTAGAAGAACATGAACTTCCAGGAGAATAAATTTTCCATTCTAAGAAGACATCCGTCTCGCTCTCTAACTTTCCAATCGTCAACCTAGGGGAACGCAAGTTTATATTTTGCACTCGTGAACACAGTCGAGCCCGCTTATAATGAACCTGAGCCTGACGTGGCATACACTCGCTGTATCCCGAAGTTCGTAGTAAATGAAACACAGCCTTTAAAAAAGTTGCGAGTGAAAACACAAACTTTTTCACGCAAAAAAGTCTGTGATGCACGTGTTTCGAAGAGTAGAAGCGATAAGGGCGGTCTCTAGTTTATTTCAAACAGTAGCGTATTTGTTCGCCAAGGCTCGAGCCATAAGCTGCATGAGGGACTGGCTCCAAAGTTTCGTCGTTCTGACAATTCGATTTCTCCAAATCACTTTTGCCACGTACTTCGTTCACAATGCCCTAATCCGTGCACGGTTCCGGCATCATCATCGGCCGTAATGAAACTATCGCAACAGACGTTCCACCCGTTCTCCCATGTCGGAGTCGACGGCGCGCTGCCACAAATCGCCACCAAACTGATCCAGTTCGGAAGCTTCAGGCTCGGCATCGGGCCCGACGTCGACGAAGTCGGTCTTGCGAAAGCAGTTTCGCGCGCCTGTAGCCGTCACCACCACCCATGAAATATTCACCATCTCCACAACCGAATACCGGGACGCCCGAAGCAACAAGTTGGCTGCCAAGTGGTCAACAGCTATGCTTTGCAGAGCGAGCACTCTGCAACGCGGCACCTAACGCGCGGATTACGCTCAAGCCAAGCGGTCACACTTTCGATGTTTTGTTGAGCAGCAGAAAAGAGCGTGCAAGTCCTCCCGTCTGCCATCCTGATCAGGCATGCACACCAAGAGCAAGCAAGACGCACACACGCAACACACATGCCAGAACGCAAGGAACAGCTCTGGGCCCGTTTCTAGTCAGAAAACGAAACTAACTCGAGCGAGCGTGGCTGGCGTGCGGAGCGGTGGAGATGGGCGACGGGGTTGCGATCAAAAGAAGAGAGCAGATTTGCGAAAGAAGGGCAAATACTTGCGATAGAGTGAAGAGAGGGGACACGGCGGAAGGGCGACCTTGAAAACCAAAAAACGCAGGAAGAAGGTAAGTCAGGTAGCTTGCTTGAAAAGTCCGGGAAACGCGCAACTCGCACATAGAAAAACTTGAAAGAGTGTCTCCGCGCGCATAAGTGGCAGTGTTCAAAGAATTGGCGGTCGTGGTCAAAAAATCATTTTGTTGCGCCGGCGGATGTGCATGGCCTCGCCGACTTCGATATTTCGCGATTCGTTCCGCGCAAATTAACAGCCGTTTTCACGCTTCCCCATGCGTGCGGAAGGCATGCTGAGCCGAGTGCGAAGTGAGAAAGAACAGGTCCTAAACACAAAATGAACCACCAATTATCAGAGTCGGTGGGGTAGCAAGCGCGCATGCTCTAGACGCAGACGATCGGATACAGTCGGTGGCCGACAATGTTGGCAAATGGTCTTGTCAGTACCAGCGATCAAAAACGGAGAAGATGGCCGACCGATCTTTGAAAGAGCAGTGGCAATGTGAAAACATGGGCCTCGTCTGGCAATGCGGGGTGCTTAGAGTAGTGGGGGGAACAAAGCACAGAGGGGTGCGTAACAAAAAGTGGTCGAAGAGAGCAGCAACTACAAGGGCGCAAAGGCAGGGCCGGCGTTTAACAATAAGAATGTATGGGCCACCTCGCCGATGCCTGATCCGTGGTCGAAAGTGGTTTACCGGGAAGTCGGCTGTGCACCGACCCCGTTCACTGTAACCGATCGGTGGAACTCGGAGACGTTCGTTGAAAGTGCGACTTTGTGCCATTGAACCAATGTATATTTTCCCAGACACACGGATATTGTTAGTTTTAAGCAAAAGTTTGTTTTAAGTGGGGCCGTTATATGTGGGCTCGACTGTATTTGGTCCACACTTGATTCAAGTAAAGGTGTTCTTTTTCCTTTTGAACGAAATCTGAATGTCGGCATAAGATGCGAGGTCGGCGTAAAACTGCCTCGTATAACCAAGGTTTTTAATACATTATTCCTATGGGGATTGCGCCAGGACCTAACCGATTCATCACAAAATGTGGGTCGTCGCGAAACTGGGGGACGTATAATCGAAGTTCCACTGTAGTTTGCAGTACTGTGCATGACAAAAATTTTTTAAAGTAACAACACAGCGGAGTATCTGCGAACTGCCATAATCCAGTCCTAACACCTATGCTTCTCGCACTGCTCATATTGGAAACTGTAAAACTTGACGGGCAGTTTTCAGGTCATCGTCATGCTTAAACTTTTGTAGCAGCTCACAGTGCAGCAGTAGTGCGTGCCTGCTTTCCAGAATGATGAAGGAGCGCTTCCCATAGCGTGCAAATGCAAGATAAGCGCTCCAAGAAACACGTTTTCTGCACTCGCAATAAGAAAACCCAGCAAGCGCAGCCCGTCCGAGCGACCGGAACTTTGGCCTCCTTCCGCTAGGGCGGTGAACAGCGCTGCGCAACCTTGAGCCTGTGTAGGTGTTCTGAGGTGTCTGCGCTGGAAATAGCTACGCGCAACTTCTCTTGCCAGGAGAATGCTGAAGCCGAAGTAGAAATGCTTTGCAAGCTGCGTGCGAAATTGATTGACTCACTGCAAGGCAAATGTGTACATACGTGTATCACCGATTACTTCAACTGATGACGGATGTCCTGTGATTTGTGAATGAACGTTAAGTATTCTGAAACTTCCCTCTCGTGTGTTAGCTCAATGCACATGCGCCACTGCATGGTAAGCCCTCCATTCATATAGCTTTCATTTATTTGAACTTTTTTTAATTCAAACAAATTCAGGCCCCTTCAAGTTCGAATTATCTAGATTCAATTATATGAGAAAAATAATCTTTCTTTTAGTGTCCCTTCAATATGGAGCTCTTACAAAAAGCTATACAAGTGCACACGCATGTGCACTTGATTGATGTCCTGGATATAAATGTTGTATGGAATTTCAACTTCAACGGCAGGGTGATGTCCTTGAAACGCGAAAATTTGGTCCAGTACTTGAGGCCTTTTGCGGTCTATCGCCTTTTATTTTATAAAATAAACAATATGTCTCGTTTGTTGCACGTTGGTTTTGTTCCTACGTGTAATTACTTTTTGTTGCAACCGGGTACGTTTGCAAGCGGGTTTCGTTTCGGATTACAGTACATATAAATGGTGCTGGCGTACGTGAGTAAATCAATGCAGAACCAACACCACTGCAATCGCCATCGTTAACAGTGACATATCTCTAGCCTTCTGCTATAGTTGCGCTTATCAGAGCTTTGGTTGCGGTCCTCCCGCAGGACGAGGAATTTCATTGCTCCGCAGAAGTTCTGGCGGCATTTTTAAAAGAGGCAATGGCCTGTTCGCGGGAAGGTAAAAAGTTCTCTCATTAGACTCCACTGCTGTCCGTGGTAATTAAAGCATTAATTATAGTTATTTAAATACTGCAGTGATTACAGAGTCTAACAATTTTAAGATTTCTGGTGTCATCAGATGCCCAGCGAACCGCATGGGGCCCGCGGGCCACAGCTCGCGGACCCTTGAGATGGACGGTTCGGCGCAGTTTAGCGCAATTTACGTCAATTTTATCAGGTTGGTGCAGCAAATATCGTTTGGCGCACTTTGGTGCAGTTGGCGCAGAAGTGGAATCCCGGAATATGGAAACCAGCTAATTAGTGCCACCGTTGATACAATTACAATTATCCAGCATTTGCAAACACTGTTGCTTTACCTTGCTCCTGCAGACATCTGTAAGAATAGGAATATCCATCTATTTCAGGCCCATAGTCAATGGCCTACTGTGTTTCAAAATGATCGATATGTGGGATTCAACGCCCCAAAACCACTGTATCGTTATGAGTGACACCGAAGTGGAGGGCTCCGCGAAATTTCGACCACCTGGGGTCCCTTAAAGTGCACCCAAGTCTGAGCACACGGGCCTGCAGCATTTTTACTTCCATTGGAAAATGCAGCCCCCGCAGCTTGGATTCAACCCCGCCACCTGCGGGTCAGCAGCTTAGTACCTTAGCCACTATACCACCACAGCGCGGCTAACTTTAAAGCAATGCCAACCCAAGTGAGTAGCACTGGGAATAAGCGAAAGCTAAGCTCCTAGTCTGACATGCGAAAGAATTAAAGGGGCCCTGAAATACTTTTTTTAAGTAACCATGGAATGAATTCGCTGGAAGAGCTTATTGCCTCACGAATTCAACGCGGCAATGATTTTAAGAATCCGTCCAGTGCGAGTGGAGTTAAAAAGATTTATCGCATGCTGCGATCACATTCTCTCTTCTCTCGCCACGAAGAAAACGCTGGCAGATAAGCAGGTAGAAATGGGAAGTGGCAAAAAAAGTAAGTCTCGCGTGCCTCGTGACCTTGCGCTTTTTTTTCTTTTTTTTGTCTTCAAGTACGCAGCTTCTGCAGCGCTATCACGCGCACACGCGTGAACAAGTGACTGCCTATCGCGGCTATCTCTGTAACGACTGAGCGGGCCATGTTGAAATCGGCCAATGGCTGATATATGAGCTTTTTACGAACAAGTTTTGAGCGTCTTCTGTGATTGGTCGAAACAAAAGAAAGCAATTTTTAGCCAACTTTGATAATTTATTGTGAATCCCAGGCCGCATGCTGCGCTATAATATTTGGCTCGCGTGTTGCCGGAAGCCGCTACTACTGATTGACAGCGTTTTCTGACCATGCTCAAAAAGTGCTGCAGGGTCCCTCTAAGCATCGCATCCTGCCATTTGTGCAAACGAAAGATAGTCAGCTCCAACAGCCATCAATCGCTTCACATACGTGGTGCAGAGACTTTGACCACTTCGAGGTACTCCGAGCTGTAGCAGGGAAACTTCTGCATGCTGGGGCGAAGGCAGAGAAGCTTCTTCTTGGGGAGGGCAGGGTTGACGCAGAGCATGCCCTTGGCCCCAGCGTACCGAATCTGGATGGCCGACGGCCGCTCCGTCAACTGCATCACCTTGTACACCTGCACACACACACACACACACACACACACCTTTACATTTAAAATACTGCCCAGATGACTGTCTTGAATATAGGGCTTACTTGCATTAAATGAAATGGCCTGGACCTTGAAACTCTTAGAACAAAAATATACAGGCAACCCTTGGGTCATACAGCTGAACCCCTGCCCCGTCGCGGTGGTCTAGTGGCTAAGGTACTCGGCTGCTGACCCGCAGGTCGTGGGGTCAGATCCCAACTGCGCGGCTACATTTTCGATGAAGGCAAAAATGCCGTAGGCTTGTGTGCTTAAATGTAGGTGCACGTTAAAGAACTCCAGGTGGTTGAAATTTCTGAAGCCCTCCACTACTGCATCCCATGATCGTATGGTGGTTTTGGGACATTAAAACCCCACTTATCAATCAAATACAAATACTTATGACCCAGTTCCATACCTCGTTTTAAGTTGGCTGTATGCACCGTGTCGACATGGTGTACAGTAAGCTCCCATTAAACGAAACCTGAAGGGGCCAGGAAATTGCGTTCCTTTTAACAGGAGTTCAGTTTACCGAGAAATAAACAAGGGCGGAGAATCCAAGCACGAAAACAATCGCACCAGAGGTAGTTGTTCCATTTCAGCAGCAGTTCCGTTTAACAAATTTTCGTTTACGGCGAGTCCACTGTAGAAGGTCCTGGTGAGAGTGGGGCATTGAACTAATAATTGTTGAGGGTTTCAAGTCTTAAAGCCACGGCATAATAATGAGAAGCTGCAGTGGAGGGCTACAGATATATAGACTATCCGGAGTTGCCTAAACTTAAGCAAATGGGCCTCCAGCATTTCGCCTCCATCAAAATGCAGCTGTGGCAGGTGAGCGTCGATCCCGCGACCTTCAGGTCAGCAGTCAAGCACCATAACCATTAGACCACTGTGGAGGGTCAGCGTCCTTCAACTCACTCCGGCAGTTTTGAATTCGCCAATGTAAACCTCATTACAGAGGGCCTTTCAGTCAAACGACCATTCCGTAGAAAACTTAATACTAGTCGACTACTTTAAAAGGCTCAGCACTCTAGCACATTTAGGAGAGAAGCTTCTTATGGTCGTGGCTTGTCCACTGACGAGCGCCGTAGCTGCAATTAACGAAGATGCTTACGACTATGAACAAGCCTGCTCTAGACTACACATTTTCTTTCTGCCATCACGGCACAGCACATTCAACGTACCCACTATACATCGTGACGATCACTGACAACAACTGGCTTGTGCTTTATTTCGCTTCACGACGCATTTCGTATGACTGGAAGCAACCAACAACCGCCAAGGGAATGTGCACAGACCTCGTCATTGCCTACACAGCTAGATCCGATACCACAGAGCAGTAATAATTAAGGCAAAGCAAAATTCACAAAATCAACAAAACATATTACGAGCAATAAACTGTGTATATAACTGCAGTGATCAATGTAACGGGTGATTTACAGTACTAACACGGAACGATCCCATTGCTTCACCCACACATCAATTACTTCATGAATATGCCGCGATATCTTTTTAGAGCTTCGATGTAGAAAGGATCGACACATGCGAGTACTGCTTTGAAGGAAAACCAAGTGCACTCCATCTGTCTAACAATAATTTGTCTTTCATATCTCTCCCTGTATTTCTGCCGCTTTCATTTGTTCAAAGTACTTTCCATTGAAATATGACTGGCTGCCATCGCAACAAAAGAAGAAATCCACAGGTCGACATAAAGCAATCAAATTCTTTGACAACACCCCACATGCAAGCACCAGCAAGCTCTTTTCATGCAGTCTTGCACACTCCTGACAGTGTAGACAAAACTGGTAGCTATGCCAGTCCTCGACCAAGAAAACGGTCCATAGACCTTTTCAAGGTTGCGATAGAAGCTGCAAGCGTTGTGCCCCAAGATATTTCTGGCTGTTTCATTTATCATTCACCAACACTGAAGCAAACCATGTTTTTAAGTTGATCCAGAATAAGAAAAGCCTCTTTTAACGCTTTCGGATCAAAGACGGGCATGTAGAATTCAAGAAAACCTCTCATAATCTGGTGTGTAACTAAGAAGAATACTTATTCGACATACCCCCTTCAGCAGCGGTGTGTGTGATTGTAGACGCCAAATATGGAGGTGCGTCATGCGCCGAGTGTTTTTTCAGATGGCCCAAAACTGTGTGCACATTCATGCAGGCTTCCTCAGTTGACTACTTGTGGTAATCTAACTCCATTGTGCTGCGTTTTGCTGCAGATGATCACTTTGTTGGACACACTACAATGTACGGCAATCGTTCGACGTGCCGTTTAACGTGAGCAATGTCAAGAGTACTTTTCTGGCTTAAAACAAATACTACAAGCAAAAATCAAAGTGTGCATGCATTTTCGGTCTAATATTTTATTCTCTTTATCCAAAAGTTGAAGCCGACTGATTGCCAAATAATGAGATATTTCATGACACGCTATATAAGAATAACTACTGAAACTCTCAGAAAACGTGTGTTTATTTTATAGTTTGGACTGTAATACTCAGTACCTTGGAATCATGTCATATGAATTTGATGCATTTGCAAACAGTTCATCACAATTTGTGCTTGAAGGGGATATTTGGCTAAGCGCATAAAGAAAAGTGTTGGAAGTCTGTGGGCTTTTCGCCAAGGCCTTTCTTCCCTGCCACTGCCGGTATGCTGTGTCTGAAGGCAGACCTGGAAGTCGTTAAAGTCTGCATTTGTACACAGCGACTTTGTACACAGTGTCAGTATATAGCTGTAAAAATGACCTGGTCAACCAGATGCACAATCGCATTGCACATGTGGACTGCATATGCTCTGTTAATGATAATGTTACGCGCACCAAATACATTGCAACGAAGATAGTGGACACGAAACTCGAGCAGAGAAAGAGGAAGGTGACTAACTGCGCTCGCCGGCCTACATTAAGTTAGCTATTGTGCTAAATAAATCGCTTCTTTGTAGAGCCATTTCCTGCCTGTAAAGGTGCCCTGCAACACTTTTTGAGCATGGTCAGAAATTGCTGCCGATCGGTAGTTGAGGCTTCCAAGAACACGCGAGCCAAATATTATAGTGCAGCACACGGCCTGCAATTTACAATAAATTATCAAAGTCAGCTGTACATTGTTTTCTCTTCTTTCAGCAAATGATGGAAGACGCTCAAAAATCACTTGTAGAAAACCATCTATCAGCCATTGGCCGATTTGAACATGGCGCGCTCGGTGGTTACAGGGATTCCCACGGGAGGCTGCGACTTGTCCTGCGTGTGCGCGCGGTCACACTGAAGAAGTTGCGTAATCGAAGAAAAAAAAAAAGGTGCTCAAGGTCAATAGGCACACCTGACACTTGCTTTTCCTGTGCCATCTCACCCTGCTTAGCTTGCAGCGTACAACAAATCTTTGTAACTCCGCTCATGCTAGGTGGACTCAAAATTTTTGCAACCTTGAGCACTTTTTCGTTTTTTTGTGCGTTTTAATATGGATATTTTCTGTGCAATCATGCGTGCACGCGTGGACAACTTGCAGCCTTCTGCGGCGGCTGAGTAATGACCGAGTGCACCATGTTCAAATCAGTTAATGGCTGTTCCAATGACTGTGGCAAGCCAATTTCGCGCTTCTTCAGTCATTTGTTGAGAGAAGAGAAAGCAATTTTGAGCTGACTGAGCATTTCTGAATTCCAGGTCACATGCAGCACTACAATATTTGGCTAGCGAGTTCTTGGCAGTTTCCACTACCTATTTTCAGTGTTTTCCAACCATGCGCAAAAAGTGTTGCAGGGCCCCTTTAAAACACCACATTCCAATATGTACAATTTGTACGACTTTTCTGTGGGGTTTGCCTACAATCTTTGAACACGGTCAGAGCTGCCACTCGAATCTGCTGTGGCACACTTCAGCTCACCTCTTCGGCGAGCTGCACTGACATCATGCCAACACCGTCGGAGAAGATGTACGGCTTCCTGCTGACGGGGTGGGCACCGCCGATTATGTCCGGTACCTCCTGCACCTCGCACGGCTTGACATGTACAGACTGCTCGGTCGAAGAGAAGCACTGGCCCATGCGTGCCATGCGCTTAGCCACGTTGGGGATGCCCTCAAACTTGCCCATCCACTGGCGGATCGTCACGGCATTGTTCTGCCGCTCGTCAGCTGCGTACATCCACGTCCTGCGCGATGACAGCAACAGCAAACTGAGGACCTCGGCTTACAACACAGCATGCAAAATGGCAGATCAAAAGAACAGCAGCACGTCCCAAGCCAATCATAAGTGAACAACAAAAAAGAGCAAAACTGGCCGATCTTAAGGCCTTAGCGTGGCGTGCTTGGCTAATGGCGCAAGCAAAGTAGAGTCGAACCGCAGCCTGTCCCAGATAATGCAAGACGATGCAAACACCCGCGCCACAAATAATGTGCAAGACTCGCTACGGCATCCCACGTAGAGGGGCAAACCTTTCGTCGCTTGTGCTCGGCTCGAGCCGGCAGGTAATGTCCACCTGGTAGCTGCACAGACCGTCTCAGTTGGTGGGCACGACAGATGAGCAATGGTGGAAAATAAGAAACAACGTGGAGGCTTTTTTGCTGGCACCTGACATTTCCCCTCGAGCCTGAAGAGTTTCTCTCTTAAAACGAAAGTGATAATTCAAAAACCCGCCCATACAAAAGCCTACTAAAGCTGCGAGCGAGAAACTTGAACCGGTGTTCAAGGGAAACCGGAGTATACGAATTCAAACAGCACACAAAAGACAGGCACCAGAAGACGAACTGGTAATGTAGGCTAGCAGCTACATTATTAAAATTCAAGTCATGCAACAACACTGAGCGGTTGCTAATGAATTAACTAGTGTTTACAGAGAGCTGCACATTGAATACAAAACAACTCGAAGGGTGGTTGGTCTCTACGTGCCTTTTGCAGGATGAAGACAAACTGCACCTTTCCTTCCCACTTGAGCCACGATCGTACGCTAGCAATCGAACACTTTCACTTGCACAAAGCACATACAGGACAGCACGTATAGGATCAATATGTGATTGACTAGGACTTCTATATAAGTAACAGCAGCACTAGAATGAGGTTCAGTAATCAATGTTACTATATCCAATGACATCACAACATTCTATAACTTTATGTTATTACAGTATATGCCACATTAAAAAATATTTTCCTAATTGCTCATTATACAGTAGAACCGCATTGATACGCTCTCACTCAATACGATTTTCCGGTTCCTACGCTCAAAATCCCGAAAACTAAAAATGCCCCCATAGAGCTATGTGTTAATACACTAATTCCCAGAAAATACGATTATTTAACAGCAACACTTGGCATTGCGGCAAACTGTGATCATAAGATATGTTCCACGGGCGAAAATTTTTATTCTGCTGTGCAAAAAAAAAATGCTCTCGCATGCTTGTGAATTGCCAAGTGGCAGACTGCGGCCGCGCGGTGATGGTGGTTTCTTTGCTGCGTTCAACTGTCAACCCCTTTCCCAAGCAGACACACGTCTGAGCCGTCAAAGTCTTCAAACGGTTTTCAAAAAGTGCCCATCATTTTCTGTAGCACAGTGGTTTTCGCAATTTAGCATGGCCTGCAAGGCTGCTGGATCATCTGTACGCGGTTGCTGCAAGCACTCGGCCTCCCAGGCCTGTTTTCATGCTCGTACTGCACCATAGGCCCGGCGAATGCGAGCTTTGTCACGTTCCTACTGTCGGTGCTCTGCAATAGTTGTCCGTGGGCTACAACTGTGGAGGTTCTCCACAGCGCATGGGCTCTAAGCCACGGTCGCAACGAGATGGGCGATGTCACTCACAATGCAGCCAATGGCACGCGTGGTTTACAACGCTGAGGACACCATGACTCTGACGCCGATGCCGAATGGTTTAGGAATATGCAGGCCACGCCAGGTTTTCTCTGGCCGAGCCCTGTGCGAGGCTTCACGTTGCTCAGTATATTTAGTTTGCGATTTGAGACAGTAGAGTCTAGCGTGCGTCGAAGAAGCACGAGCCCTTGTCGATTAAGGAGATGCGAATCGACATGACGAACGAACTTGGACTGCCAACGTCTACTGTGAATACCGTGGTGTTGAAGCAGAAAGAGATCGAGACGAACGCCTTCGTGTTTGGCAGCGCATCAAAGCAAGCCCGTGAGGCCTGCCATGGAGAGCTGGGGGTGGTGCTATTGAAGTGGTTTAACGGGGGACGAGGGTCTTAAAATTACACAAAATTGTAAAAATGCTGACTTCCAAAATTGCAATTTGAGGTATTTATAGTCTGAAGAATGTTCTGGAAAATTTTTGTATTATGACAAAATACCAATTTTTCATAATAGCTTAATATATTAAATTACAAATGTTTTTAAAACTGGAAACATAACTTTCCTAGCATTGTCATTTTTGTGGAATGAATCTGCATTACGGAAGTTTTGAGCAAGTTTCTGTGAAGATATTGTCACACGCTAAGAGCTCGAAGGAAGGTATAAAGGGACGCGACTGTCAAAAATCTCAGAGACAAAGAAGGACGTCTCCGCTGGCACGGGTTGCTCGTCTTCGTCTTCCTCGTTCACGGGCACAGAACTGACCCAGTGTTCACTGGCACAGAACACCAGGTGGCAATATATAAACAAACTTGGTACCATTCTTTTCTGCTGCACTTGAACTACAGGCTGAAGCTTTTCTTTTTTTAGTAACCTTGATAAAATTGTAATTGAATGATAAAAATCAGCTAACTACTGGAAGCTCATTTTTACCTTCCAAGTTTAAAAATTATTTCTGATGAAAGAAACAGCCGTTCTCACATCTAGTTTCCTTTAGCCTGAGGTATAAACCTTTTTGAGGAAACATGTTTTGAAAACTAACTTGTTTGATTGTGATTACTATAGTGAACCTTAAGAAATTACCTAATTAAAATGTGAAAATTTGTCATTACATTTTCATAAATGAGATATATGAGATCTGTATGCAGATTTAAAAGCTCCACTCAATGGTATACATGCATGGTAATTTTCATGAAAGTAGGGAAAAATAAATAAAAAATCTTTTTTAAGACCCTCGCCCCCCTAAGCAAGCATGGACCCCTGGAGTTAACTTTGACGGCAGCGTGCTTAAAGGGGCCCTGCAACACTTTTTGAGCATAGTCAGTAAACGCTGCCAATAAGTAGTAGAGTCTCTTGACAACACGAGAGTCAAATATTATAGCGCAGCACATGGCCTGAAATTCACAATAAATTATCAAAGTCAGCTAAAAATTGCTTTTTTTTCTCTCAACCAATCACAGAATAAGCCCAAAAATCACTCTTAGTAAGCCCATCTATCAGCCACTGGCTGATTTGAACAAGGCGGACTCAGTTGCTACAGGGGTCACCGCGAGAGGCCGTCGCTTGTCCACGTGTGCGCGCACTATCGCACTGAAAAAGCTGCGTATTCGAAGAAAAAGAAAAACGTGTTCAAGGTCACGAGGCGCGAGTGACATTTTTTGTCTGCCCCTCCCATTTCTCCGTGCTTAGCCTCCAGCGCTTTTGTCAGGACGAGAGAAGAAAGAATGCAATGGCAGCGTGTGACAAATCTCCACTCCACTCATACTGGGCGGATTCTAAAAATTTTTGTGGTGTTTAACTTGTGGGGCAATACGCTTGCCCAGTGAATTAATTCTATGGTTAACCAAAAAAAGTGTTTCAGGGCCCCTTAAAGAGCAGCTGTTCAGGAAGTGCGGTTTTCGGCAGTAGTTTGCATCAGAGGACTCAGGGCAGCAAAGACAACCCTGTGACATGCGTGTTTGACATCAATAACGACGTCGATGAGGATTTCCTCTCCACCGGCGCTGACGCGCTCTTCGCCAAGTTCGCCTTAATAGATGACAATGTCCCAACTCGCTAAGTGACACCGAAATTGTCATGGAGGTGGGGGGGGGGGGGGGGGGCAATGAAGCTAAGGAGGCGGGGTACAAGGCACCGGGAGACGGCGGCGAGAACAAAAATGTGCGCCGACCGGCTAACTTCGCCGAAGCCCTTGCTGGACTGGAAGCATTACAAAGCTTCTTTTACAGAAAAAACAATAAAAATGCGGACAAGAATCTGCAAAGCGTGCAGAAGCGGCTTTTCTTGCCCAAAGGTGAGAGGCAGCCGCAGAACATTACAATGTTTTTTCGAGAAATAGATGTTTTTTGCTCTTACATCTATCTATATAAACTTGTCAGCCTCATTTTTTTCTAGAATCTGATTGTACGTTTTCCCACATCGTACGTTTATTTTTTTCGCATTTTTTCTAAAGCGTATCAACGAGGTTCTACTGTACACAAGGTTCGCTGTTGGAATTGAGAAAATGGTAAATTTCAGATTTGAAGCAAACTTGGAATGAATAGTCGTGTAGTTCAATGTCAGCAAGTTCAAACAGTATGTCTAGCATATAACCTGCTATACTTAACCCATAAAAGCTGTATCTGGGTGAAGATAGCATGTACAATTATTCTTGATTTGCAGCAGTGCAGATGCTTTCCGCATAGCTTGCTCCACAGCCTAGCAGATCTGCCCCGCAGTGAAACCAACATTTCAAAGAATGACACGCGGTACAGTTTATATTTTATATTGTTAGTTTGCCCAGGCTTGCTCAATGCAGTACCAAGCTCAAACTGCCATTCTCAATAAAAGCGACCAGTAGGCTAGCTGGTCATGCTGTGTCCTCGCGTTTCCTTGCACTAAACACAAGTTGTGATGTTTTCATTCAATCGTACCCGTGGTCACGAAGCTGACTAGTGGAAGGTGCCAGAAACTTGAACTCTCTGGTGCCAACTTGCAGCCCATCGTGCAGGAAGCGGGCGACGACGGCATTCAAAATCGCATCCCGTGACGAGTGCAGGTTGAGTGAGAAGGACAGTTTGTCCAGGTTGTCGTCCCTGAACGACACTCGTATGGCAAATTCCGCGTTGAACTCGCGCAGAATCCTGTTCTCAAAGTGAACCTGCAGCAAAATGCAATTTCAGTAAATAGTCTTACCACAGTACATGTAAAAAGATACCTATGCACAAACTGAAATACACTCAAACCTTAATGTAACAGACATGGATATAACGAAATATTGGTTATAACGCAGTAAACAAAAGATAGTCTTGCAATACAGTGTTATGATGAACCTTTTTAAGAAATTTTCAGATACAACAAAGTTGTTTTCTTGTAAGATGCAACCTTGTTATGATGAGGTTTGAGTGTACATAATGGGTGCAACGTAAGCACATGTGAAATTGTTCAAAATATATCTTTTGAATTTCTTCTCATCGCTTCCATGGCAGTGTTAATGACAGCACAACTCCACCCAGGCCGCCTGCTGTAAGAGGAGGAGGAGGAATAAATGAGGAAGGACAGGCCGCCTGCTGTAAGAAAATTTGCTTTTACAAAGGACCTGCAAATGGCATAACAGCTTCTGCATACAAATAATGCTTGGTGTCCCCCTAGAGAACAGTGGCACATTTTGAAGCAGGAAAGTCGGACTAATGCATTCGAGTTGAAACAGCAATTTTACTACATGCATTTCGTACAAGGTGTGCCACCTCAATCAGGCGCTGTGCTGGCATGATCGTGCATGGCAAGTACAAGCTGACCGACTGCGCTTGCGCAAATACCCCAGGGGGCTATTGAAGAATGGTGACAGCTGCAGAGGTGGAAGTTCACCCCTCAGCTCCGCAGGTCACACACTTTCAAAGAATGAATTGGTCTTATGTTTTTTTCCAACTGCTGCTCATTACAGCAGCAAGACAAACATGAAAATCCTCACTTAAGCTTAGATTTATTCCGCCACGCACACGCAGTAAACATGTGCCTGCAAGGCATAAGAAAAGGCGGGGTCACAGCTCCGAAAGTGCATAGCCTCCCATCAACATGTGTGAAAATAGCATGCTATAATACCATTCAAAGGCTTCCTACATGTAGCTGAGCTGTTTCATCCATCCATGTAAGTTGTCAAAACATACTGAGACTGCTTTACACCCAAGAAATCCATTTCTCAAGTTGGTTAATGAGCATTTCAAATTTTTACAAATCACATGCGTTCATGCACAATGTAGAGTGACAGTACTTGCAATGGACATCTTCGAAAAGATGTCCAAAAGGGCTACCCACAAAGCACAATGACACTTACCTTATTAGTTAACAGCGAGCTCTAGCAGTGAAGCAGCATTCTATACCAATACGCCATAGGTAGCCACAACTCACGCCTCTCATGTCTTGCTTGCACTTTGTTAAAATCATGTACACTCAAAACTCAATATAACGGACACAAACATAATGAAATATATGCTATAATGAAGTAAATGAAAAATAGCCTAGCAATAGATACAGTGTAAGATTAACCTTCTTATCAAATTTTCAGATATAACAAACTTAATTTCTTGCAAGATGCAACTTTGTTATAATGAGGATTGAGTGTATCCAGAAAAAAAATACCACATTTCGTCGCATAAAACCCGCACAAAATATACGGAAACGTCAAAGCCAAAGTAAGGTGGCGAGTTTGTTTCATGCTGCTACTTCATGGTAATGCAAGAAAATCTACGTCACTGTAATACACTAAAGCCATTTTCCCTATATTAATTTTTTTTGTGTATGGTTGTCAGGGGTGTGCATAACAGGTAGGGACATGTCATACGTGAGAAAATACAGTACCACTACAGTTCCTACTTTTGATTTTAAGAACTCTCTTCGCATACCTGCGGAGGACGAAAAATGAGCCGGCCAGGCGTGACAAACACGCTCCGCACGAGGCACGTGCCACGGGCCAGCTGCGGCGGCTTCTCGTCCTTAAACAGGCTGCAGGTTGCGTAGAAGGCTGGCCCAAACATCACGACGTTGCCCGCGTCAATGCTGGACACAATGTGGCTCAGCGCCCGCTCGACGACCAGCGGCTCCTCCTTTGATCGCTTCTTGATGTCCCGCATAAGCTTCTCAAATGTGGTCCTCGACATAAGCGCCATCTGATCGAGAACATCAAACGTGATGTGCAGGGCTGCCTTGAATGCATAGGCACAGGGAAACGGCAAAGTCCTCTCCATTTCCTCGCAGCGTGCCTGGGAAGTTTATGCAGAGAATCACGTTGCGTACACAGCCTCCCCTGAACAGGCACGCCAAGAGTGACAGGTCTATGACAGCACATTGCAATGTCATCAGATGCTACCGGCATTTACCATATCTCCCAAACAAATATCAGAAACAGGGTATTGATTATGGCAACAACGGTAAAAAATGTCACGATTTTTCTTACGTTTTAACTTCTCTAAACATAACTATCAGTTCCTACTACAACGCATTTATTTCACTACATAATGTAATTAGTTCTTTTAAACACTGGTGCAATAAATTTTTGTAGTAATTAAAAATGTTAAAAGCCAGCAGGCTTAAACATGCTCAAACCTCGATATAATGAATTTGAATAGAACGAATTATCGATTATAACAAAATGACCAACAGCTTTGCCATAGATAGTGTTACAAATATTCATTTATAATGAACATTTATATATAACAATGTTTTTGTGTCAGATTATGACCTTTGAGTGTATATGATTCAACACAATTTTTTCAGCGCAGTTACTTATCTCTTTTCGCATCTTTAAAGTATGTTTACGAGTAGTTCTGACATTTGTTTGTTATACTAGTCAAAATATCTCTTGATTACTATGCAAGTATGTAGACAAGAATGTTATGTCAACACTGCCTTGTGTACGGGTGCTCAAGCTTCATTTTCCCCACTTTTCACCAGGGGTGACCTCTAATAACTACTGCACCTGGCCACAGCAGATGCAACTTTTATACCGTATTTACTCGCATAGAACCCACCCCCCACCTTGGTTATTGAAAAAAAAAAAACTTCTTTGATCTATATGGTCATTTTATTTTGGTATGATAGCCAGTGCCGTTAATTATTGAAACAATGTTCAATCAAACCATTATATGACAAAATAACTGCACAATAGAAGTCAAAACAGATCTGCAACAATGCCAAACAGTTGCGAGCGTTGACGATGCAAGTCAAAATTTGAAAATCGCGCCTTTTACAGCAAAGCGCCATCTGTCGAATGCTGGAGAAACCTCTTTGCTGAAAGCGCCACGAAAGCACAGTGGCACAAAAACAAAGGGAGTGGCCTCCAAAATGGCCCACGCACGGTGTAGAAACGCGCCGCGCACTTGATATTGGCCGTGAGATCGAGCAGAGTCACCGCCTGGTGGCAACTGGGCAAAATGGTGAAGCGTGGATTGCTCCTTGCATCGTCTGCTAGCCACGTCGTGTTTCTGTGTGTGCGTACGTCATGCACGTTCTCAAATAGTGGTTTGTTCGGTCATGTCAGCGTGAGTGTAACTGTTTCTACGTATGCCTGAAAGGACGTACGAAAGCATTTGATCTTGCTCAGCTGCTGATGCATTGTAATAAGATCGACAAGTGCAACTTTCTAAAGTGTTGTTTAATGTCGTCGTACTCTCCATTCACCAGAAAAACTTCAGAGTGAATGCCGCTTTCTGTTACAAGCGCATCGCAAAATGCTCTTTAAATCCTCCCACACATGATTATTAAATGATTCGTGAATGCAGCGTTTTATGGTGACTCGGTTGTAAAAAAAAAAAGCTCTAGGTCATGCACTTGAGCGCCATTTGTTGGTAGGTGTACAACTATGGCATGGCACTGTAGTTTATGAATCATGCGAAGAGCCTTAGTTGTGTTTATCTGGCCGTGGTACCACTACATAGAAATATTACTATATTTTTATGTGGATATTACTCTCACATAACCTGTGAGACTTCGTTACTTACACTCTAATTAAGACAGAGTTACCGTGCGCGACTGTGTGCATAGAATTAAAAATGGTTTGAAGAGCCCAGACGTTAAAAATTAATTCAGATGGCATGCTTTATATATAATGTGTCATTTCACTGATATTCCATCTTTTGTACATTATTGACAGCATTTGTGTAGCATTGTTAGTGACCGACGAAAGGCAGCCGTAACTTTTTGTCAGAAAAAAAACATGCTTGTCCCATTATCCAGGCCTTTGTTGTAGCACCACCATGCACGTAATCCGTCGATGAAACCTTTCTGCTGAGCTCTTATATAAGATTTTTACTGGTGCAAGAACATGTGCGTACACGTGATAAACGCAGTGTAGCGTGAAGCACCGTCAGCCACTAAGCTTTCCTTACAAGACTTATCGACTTTCACACAATTCATGGTGAACAGAATGAGAGAAAAAAATATATGCGTATAAGGTGCAAACAGTGGTACTGAATGAATCGCCGTTTCAGTCACGCTACAGCAGTGCATAGCAGGCAGAACGCAAGCTAACCACGTACAAACAACACAGCAAAGGCATGATTTAGTGAGAAAGCGTGAAGAGTCGCCCCGGGGCGAGCATCCCTATGAACGACAGAATGCGATGTACTTGCGGGTAATGTTAAAGTTGCTTACGCATCACACACCAATTCAATAGAGAAGAGCGTAAATTTTAACAGTAAACTGCAGTCAATGCATTTTATCTGCCGAGAATCTGCTCAGACCGCATGCAACAAAGCGCTGATGCGTGTATTTGTATACGCGCCGCCGACCGCCTATCCACACTTGGGACGGGCTATAAGTGGCAGCACCTGGGACGGTGCTGCCACTTATAGCCAGAATCTCGCAGCGAATCTCGCACCTATGCAAAGCACAACCGCACCCACCACATCGACCGCGCATTGTGCAGCCGCAATGTCTACCTCAATGTTTCTGCACCGCCGTCCGACACTGTGTTTTTGTTGTTTGTCATTGTGAACTTAGTTGGGGCACCTTCCACTTGGGGTGCGTTCGGCAGGTATGCTAGCTACACATGGCCGACTAAAGCATGCGCTGGAGCGATGGACCAAGCGGCTGGATGACACTTCGGCATCGACCCATGCGTTTTCGTTATGAGAAAAAACAAAAAGAGCTTTGGACTACAAAAAAGATTCGTCACACATTTCACGGGCCAAAACAAGCAAAGCCGTCATGCGAAACTTGTGCTGTTATAATTCCCGTGACTTCTTTCTCCAGCGTAATGAACCCTCCCTTCTTATTGGCGTGAACTTGTCTTAAAAAAAGAATGGGTTCAATACGCGAGTAAATACGGTATATTGCTCGCGTCCTCTAATAAACGAGTGCCAACGCTTGTACTGGCAGTAACTTAAAAGCAAACTGAGCAGTGAGAATGCACCACACAGAAAGTCATCAGCCTTCATTGAGAGTTCATACCTGTCTATATTGATGAGCAGCATGAATGTGCTCGTGGCCAAAATATCTAAGGTGTCTCGCCGTGGAGCGAAGAATCGGTGGTTTAATTCCATAGTCACATGTTTCAGGAGTCTTTTCTGAAGAACCATTTTTCTCAATAATATAAGATTGTTAGGGTTTCAAGTACCAAAACCACGGTATGGTTACAAGGAAGGCCATAGTGGAAGGCTCCATAAATTTTGACCACCTGGTGTTCTTCAACTCCTTAACCACTTTGGATGAATGTCACTCGTCCCCCCCCCCCCTCCCCGCAGAGCGTTTTCACCGAGACTTGTTTTCAAGCTACTTCGCCAGTCCCTTCACAGATGACAGCCCTAGCTTGGCAAGTTTTTATCTTGACCACCATTTCTCATTTTATAGTGACGTGCATTTAGAAAATGTCTGACGAGCTGCCAAAAAAAAAGGGGGCGGGGGCCTTTTGAGATAAGATTATAGGCAAATGCCTGTTGTGTTCCTTGGATTTCTATCGTGCCATCTTGATATATGAGCATGAATCAGAGGTTAAGAAAGGCTTTTATGATATTTTTATAGTGCCTATAAATGCCTATTTTGGGTGTTCATGCCTAAATGCCTATAAGCTCCTATAAATGCCTATTTTCCAAATGAGCACCTATATGAGCGCTATTCAAGCCCAAATTTAGTTTTCCAGCGTGGTGTGAAGCCGTTATTCATGTAAAAAGGCAACATTGATATTTCCAAACACAATAAGGTTCAACAAAGACAAAGCTGACATGCTGTGAGCGATTAGAAGAGGAGCATGAGGAGTGCGAAAGACGCTATTTCTGCAGCCCTAAGTGGAAGCACGTCTCAGCGTCTGCTGGGAAAGGAGTAACATCTATGGCTGTGGGCGCGGCAATCGCCTTCTACAGACAGCTGTCCAGTGCCCTGAAGGAACTGAAGAACCACCCTGAAAACCTGGTATTGCGGTGGGAAAGGAAGAGCAGATTTTTCTGGGTAGCCGCGGGTAGCTGGAGAACGAATAAAAAACCATGAAGGACCGGCCACTCATGGAATGCTCTTGTTAATTCAGTGGTGGCGAAGGTCATCAAATCATTATACATCATACAGCGAAGCCTGAGACAGGCGCCGGGATGTTTACTCATTGGTGGATTTAGCATACATTCACTGTATGCTTTAATACGCTTGTTCCGTATGAGTTCCTTTGTCATATGATTTTAAGTGACAAACATGACAAAATACAGAACACAGCTTCTAGGTTTGTCCTAAGTCATTACTCAAAATGATAGCTGTAACAATAAGGAAAATGAACAAGGATGAGAATTATCATTATCGCATCGAATTAAACTACGGTTAAAGCTCCTATGTCAAGCATTTCATGGTAAAACTCGCATTCGATAATGAATGTACCTAAACAGTCCTCTTCGCGCAATGGTAATGAAGACTTTAGAATGTGGTATCAAATATAATATTTGTATTAATTTGTTTTTTTGTTTGTTCCATGACAGAACGAAATGGCTTATAAAGAGAGCAAAGTGTGTTGTGCCAATGAAGGAATGTTTTCTTTAACATTGTAACCCATCTGCTGCAGTGCCTTCAGAAAAAAAATTGTGATGTGCACGTCTTTTTATTCTTTGTAATTTATTTTTTAAGCATTCGTCTCTAGGTGACATAATAAGTTCTAGTTAGACACATTCTATTATGGTGATTTTTCAAATTGGTTCGCTACGAGCCACCAAAGCATGATGCGAAGAAGCAAGCTTGAATCCCTAGCCTCTCGTCCCATGTAGCCATTGTGAGCCTTATTCCTTCCCTG